TGGGGCGTCCCAGGATGTCCTCTGTCGTAGCTCCTGGCGTTGCAGCTGCGGGCGGCTGTCACCATATCGACGCAGGCCGGCCGCAGCGATGGGTCCAGCGGCCGAGCCGAGTCAATGGGGGCCTCGGTGACTTCGGAGGCGGCGGCTAGGGTCTTGTTGCGCTTCTTGAGCGCCATCTGTGAAATTTGGTCTTCCATTAGTTCACCGTTCTGCTTACAGCATTCCGTGGTTGATGGAGGTTTTCACAGTGCATCGCTTGAATAAATTTGTAAAGCCACTGTCACAGTGCTGTCTCCGGCTGTCTGCAGCAAGAGCGCACCCGCCTCGGTGGCTATGGCGCTATAGGGTTTCCGTTATGGAGATGGCTGGACCTTTTGTTTGGCCGCACATACACTGGCCGTCGCCGGCGCGCGCTCCCACGGCCACTCGCGGCGCTCGGCGCGGTGGTGCCTCTCTCCCACGTGCCGCGGTCATCTATTTCGGCTGTGCCCTGGCTCTGCCCGGCGGCCGCCCGTGAGGGTCCGGTTATAGATGACCGCCCGACCACACCCCCTCGCCGCTGGTCACCCCTCCTGGCGGCCGACCGCGAGCCTCTGCTGCGCCGCCGATGGACCGCAAAACTGGTTACCATTCAAACTTGGCCGCACCGTCCACGGCGTGTGGGCGGCAGTGGCAGTGACTTACTGTCCTTACAGCACTGCATCCCACGAGCCACCCCTTCCACCGCTCCCGTCCAGTACTACTTACTATCTCGGGCGACTGACAATTCTTTGATTCACTTTCCAAGTTTCCCGGCTGCCACCCTCACGTCGCCCGCGCCGCGCCCACGGCCCGGCCCCCGCCAGCCCGCACGGAATGCTGCTGCTGCACAACAAGTTCCCCCAGACGACCGCCGCGCCCCTGTGCCCCCGCCAGCCCACCCGCGAAAGGAGACCGCGAAGCGAAACTTACTTCAGCTCTCTGCTCGAGTTTCACCTGCCCTCCTCCAACTATATACCCTTAGCGAGACTCCGCACTGCTACTACCTGCGGTGATGTGATCGTGGGATTACGTACTGTCGTCTTGTTGAATTTATTACCGCACCGATTCGATATCGATACGATAAACGAGTTACCTGTCGCGGACGGTCGTGTTGTTGAATCTATTACCGCACCGCTTACAAATCGTTACGATATCCTTTTGATATCGATTCGATATCGTTGTGATATCAATTCGATTTCGTTTCGATCGGCGATACCCCATGCCACTTTCATGACAAGGGAGCCCCCCTCCCCCTCCTCTCTCCGAGACAAGCGTTCAGTAGACTTACCCTAAACGCATCACGGCTGAGAGGGAAATATTGTCCCTGCGGCTGCTACCCCTCTCCTTGTCAGGGGCAGAGAGTGTCATAAAGCGCGCAAACAAACCGACCCCCCCCCCCACACACACACACACGGGCACGCACGTGCAAGGAGGGGAATTTATTACCTCCTAATTAGTTGAGTCACGCCTGCGTACCTGTGCTTAGTCGCGCCGTGACGTGGCATATGTCAGAGGGTTGTTCGGTGTGACAGCGGCAGTACGGGGACTGCCCCCCCCCCTCCGCACGTCATCCTCCTTCTCCACCTCTCCTCCAGGACCCATCCGCCCCCTTCCCGGCTGCACCTCCAAGTTTGTGAGGTGAGGAGAGCAAGCTGCGAAAGGGGGAAGAGCAGAAGCAGCCAGCTATATAGAGTCACTTTGGTGTGCCATCTGGGACGCTTCTTCCTCTTTGAGACTGGGGCAAACGTACACGCAAGTAGCTCGGTTTGCTGACAACGCGAAACCTCACGTCTTTTGAGGGTCTCTGGTATGTACGTAGCAAAAGGTATAAAAGGTATAGAGCGAAAATTGCAATGAATGTTGGTTAAGTTTTAATATTTTTTGTCCATTACGCAATTACCAACCGGGGATATGAATTTATGGACGCTGACCACTGTTAAAAAAAAACTACAGGAAATTCTACAGAGAGCCCTGTCAATTTTTTACAACATCCGCGACTGACAGGATGTACCGTAACTTCGCAAACCTTCTTTTTGGTCAATACAGCACTTGACTTGACAGTGAAGTACGGTCAATATCTTTGCATTCCGGCCCGTACATAAAATATACAGGACGGACTGTAGGCAAACTGTACCTCCTTACAGCTTTAATAACAGTGACCATAGTGTTGTTTTGTTCCGATGGAAAAATTTTTAGCGTCAAAGTTTGTGATTTCACTATTTAATTGAAAGTTGGTTTGGCAGAAGGTTTCTCATACAAAATTTTAAATTATCTTATAAAAATTGCGAATATTTCTCGGACTAGGGAAAGCGGGGAGGTGCGCGGGGGGCAGTTACCACAGCCACCCACATAGGATGTTAGATACAGCGTATGCATGCACATCAACTGTATACGCAGCTGATCTAGCTGAAAATCTTGATGGCCGCACCGATTTGGGCGTCAAGAGTCTATTGACAGCCGCTAATGAGACTGTTTGTATTTGGCGTGCGCGCGCGAGTCAGCACACGCCAGCCCGCCCCGCCCAGCCACACGGTAATCAGAGGCTCATTCAGGGCATTATGCTGTGCAAGGATGTGTGTGGTTGCGGCAGGGGCGGGTAAGCAGAAAGGGGGGGGGGGCGGGGGGAGGTTCATGAATCATCGACAATCAGGAGAGCAGCGGCTGGAGATGGCAGGGGATTTGCTTCGCCCCGAGACCCCGAGATTAGCAGTTTGTCCCTCCGATATTCGACGACGACGACGACGGCCCATGCGAGGTGTTGTCACGCCACATTTTGACCAATAACCCCCCCCCCCCCAACACACACACACACACACACACACACACACACACACACACAGCCAGACAGGCCCGCCCCGGTCACATAGCCCGCAAGGGCGGCCTGAGGCCATACCCCCATAAGTTTGGCACTTGGGCCCCTCTCCCTCGCACTCGCTCGGCCCCACCCCTCCTCTGGCCGGGCCGGGCCGGGCCTTGCGCCCACATGCAGGCTACCAGGCACCCCCGGGGCCTGCCCAGCCGTACTTAGGGAGGGGCTGCTGAATGTGACCAGAGATATCTCCCACGGACCCTTACCTCGCCCCGCCCGGCCAGCCCGGGGCAAGGCGCGTCTGTGTGTGTGTGTGTGAGAGAGAGAGAGTGTGTGTGTGTCCTCGCCTGAAGGTGGGATAGGCAGCCAGTCTGGCATGGCGGTCATGCTGGCGGTGCGGGCTCTCTTTGCCATCTCTCTCGCTCTCTCCGTCCTCCTCCTACAGTACCGTTTTTACCCTATATTTCTCTCTTCTCTAATTTTCATTCATGCATTGATATACCTAACAATTCACCATAACACATTTCCCTCTCTACCCACGACGTTTATTGCAGTGTATGGTCGACTTACCTTCTCCTTGTACTCCTTGTCGTTAGTACGCCCCCGTTGTCGTCCGTCGCAGCCACAGCCACAGCCAAGGTAGATAGATGCTGAGTGAGAAAGTGTCGCCGCCGCCGCTTCTTATGATTGTGAGGAAAACACCACCGATAACAACATGAACCTGCCGGGGCAAACGAGCAATGCATAAGCTCAGTGGTTTTGTCAGAAACGGTGAGGAACAAGTGTAGCGCCTGATGTAAGTCTCTAGCACCCGAGTAGTATGTAATCAATGGACTATTGATTATTATCTCCAATCAAACGCCTGCCCTACTACTTCACTTCAATAAGTTCAATGACGTTAGCCGTAACTAAGTAGTCTCATCTGCAGCACAATGTACTGGGTGACTAACAAGGGAAGGTTTTTAGGTGGTACACACCAATTTCGCTGGGCGCGATACATATTGCAGGGGACATATGTAGATTAAGATTCGCACCAGTTTTAGCTGCCCATACTATGTTTTTCGTTTGTTTTGGACAATTTTTAGTAAGAAAACATCATAAAAGCAGCTAAAATGTGATCTTCAAATGCCGATATCTCCGGAACCGTTTGAGCTACACCGCCCAGATTTTGCACAGAGGTAGTCCGCATAGATACCTTAATCGTCTAAAAATATGAGAAGATTCGAAAAAAAAATTGTTGAAATGGTCCGAAATCCAAGTCGAAATTCAAGTAAGGAAGGTGCACATAGTTTGTGACATTTTCTTCGATGTTTTTCGAAAATAATTATGCTTCACGATAATTTAGTTACCAATTCGGCCTACCTCTGTGCAAAATCTGGGCGGTGTAGCTCAAACGGTTCCGGAGATATAGGCATTTGAAGATCACATTTTAGCTGCTTTTATGATGTTTTCTTACTAAAAATTGTCCAAAACAAACGAAAAACATAGTATGGGCAGCTCAAACTGGTGCGAATCTTAATCTACATATGTCCCCTGCAATATGTATCGCGCCCAGCGAAATTGGTGTGTACCACCTAAAAACCTTCCCTTGTAAGACGAGGTCTAGCATGCGGGTATCAGATGATATCACACATTGCTAATTACTTTACCGGAGCGTGTTTATCCTTTCCCCAACTCCAGCCGCCCTGGCTGATGACTGCGCCGCGACTATCCACACAGCCGAGTCGAGGC